AACATTGGGAAGATTTGTGTGGAAAAAGTTGTTGGAGAGCAAGACCTTGCTCTCCAGCAACAGTTTTCATAGATATCCTCTAAGCAATTTTTCTGAAAATTCAAACTGTCATATAACTTACTCCTTAATTTTGTCATGTGACCCCAGCTGTAAAGGGCCTATTCTGACTTAATTCTTGTCTTGATCCCCTGATAAACAAAAATATCTTTATTTAGTTGTAGGTGAACTTGCTGTGAAGGAAGTCGAATACTCTCAAACTACTAAGAAACTATTGTTGTGTCTTGAGCCAACATTGACAAGGTCAGTTTAAGTAATCTTGTGAAAATTCTGACCGACTGAAAAATTACTTGATGAAGAAGTTAAGGAGGGACGCCTGAAAACAAGGTTGACCTTGGACATCTTGCATTAACGATATAAGAAGCATTTTGTTTAGCTTTGTACAATACTGTATCAAGACTAGAAAATTAAAAACGGCCGATAAGATATTGTCTGTAAATAAATTAAATTTATGTTTTCAACAGAGAGGATTTGGAAAACCTCTCCCCAGACTTCCAAGCCATGATGTGCGCTCACTCGTCTGGAGTTGTCCGTGGTGTGATTGTAACTCTACAGGGGACTGAGTCAAATGGGTGTGTAGACAGCTGTGGTACAGGGTATGACTTTGTTTCCCGTTATTTCGCCCCCTGGGTTGGTATCCCTGAGGATCCTGTGACTGGTAAGTAAGAAAAAATATCTAAGGCTCCTTGAGCTGTCTCCTGTAACAATTTTTATCGTATAAAGTCGAACCTTTCTACAACGGTCACCTTGGGGACATAGAAAAGTGGCCGTTGTAGAGAGGTGAGGGTTATGGGGAGGAAGGGGTGAAAGATGACACCGCTTTTTTTCGTGGGGTTCAACATTTCGTAACGCAGTAAAAATATGTCAATAAAACAGAAACAGAGACCAACGATGCGCGGTGTGGATCAAGCTTCGCGGTCTTTTCCAATAAAAAGTTAGGTTTTGTATACACCGTTCGTCAGTTGTTGATTAACTGGCCGTTATCGAGAGGTTATTTTGGCGGTTGGGACGCGCTTTAGATGCCGTTGCGGAAAGGTGGC